GTTTATAGGATTTGGTAGGAATAGTACAAAAGGTAAATAGTTATGGTAAAAAGGTAAAAAAACCATGGTAAAAAAGTGCCTGAATGTTTAATTTGGCCTGCGTATATCACCACCCATCCGACATCCCTCACAATTATCCGTTAATTAATTAATTATTCATTTGTTTAAATACTTAACAAATTACGTCCCCCAGCAATTGTGCCTAAATCTCGCAGCACTCTCTCTCTTCTTTCTCTCTCTAGAGAAGACACACACTTGCCGACAAACAAAAATTCATGCTCGCCAGTTCAGGTAAGCTTTACATACTACACACACACACACACACACACACACACCTGGGTGTGTGAGTTTCTCACTTTCTCTTAATTTGCTATCCGTAATTTTTTTTTATTTAATCTGTTTATTTTTGCTTTATTTTCGTTTAATTGCAGATTTGCTTTTTAACGCATTGTAGAAGAAATCCGTATTTGGAGTTTTCTCTTTGGAACAATTTCCAGATCTCGTATTATTAATACGGAGTTAGCTTTTAATTGTTGAGCTTTTTAATCTGTATTTTTTGTACTCATTTCCTTGTATTCATCTCCAATTCTGATTTTTTTAGCAACAGCGTTAAATTTTTGTTGCTAATTATAGTCACCAAAATCCCACTCCCACTCAGACACTTCCTTTTTGTTTTCTCGTCGCCGTTATCCGAAAATCAAAAAATCAGCTACCAAAAAAAAAAATGCACGGCGGCAATTTCGCAATTTTCTCGTGTTTTGGGGTTTTGTTGCTTGTGATGAATTGCTCGGCACCGGCGAATGCTGACGTGGCAACGTGCTCGGGGATTGTGCCGATGAGGATCCGTGAAGATAGGATATCCATAGAGGATTTCGGAGGCGTGGGCGATGGAGTGACTTTGAACACGAATGCTTTCAGAAAAGCGATATACAGAATCGAGCATTTGAACAGGACAGGTGGCACTATTCTGTACATTCCTCCCGGGGAGTATTTAACCGGACCATTCAATCTCACTAGCCACATGACTCTTTACTTGGCCAGAGATGCTGTTATCAAAGCCACCGTGGTATCGGAATTATTATCCCTTTCGTTATTTTTTTTTGATGTGGATTCTGTTATGTGTTTAACTTTATTTAGTTTTAATCATACGAAGAAAACGGATTGTCGTACATGGTATGTTAACTATGATTTAATTACTTCATTCCGCTCTTGAAATGGTACGAGAGGCTATAAATTACGAGTTTAGATACGAGACTTAGATAACTAGAGTTTCCTGGATATGAAATGGTACGAGCGGAGCTAACTTGGGGAATTCGGTATTTGATAATGTCGATTAAGAATTTGCAAAGAATATGGTCGATTTCTGTCTGTTTGCACGCTTTGTAGCTTAGTTTTCATATCTAATGTGAAACATATATAATATATCGAGCTTATATGCAGTTCCATCGCATTCATTTATTATCTTGTAATAGTCCATAACTAAAAAAAATTTAGACTCGTTACATTACCGCTACGGTTTTCCGGGACTAATATCCTATATATTGCATTTGTCGGCTTCGAAACAACTTTGCACTTCTTGCCTCCGTTTATCGTTAGTTACTACATAAATCATAGTAATCTCTTACCCTTTTCTGTCCTTAATTCTTGCAGGATACTAAAAACTGGCCCTTAATAGCGCCTTTGCCTTCGTATGGACGAGGGAGAGAGCGACCTGGAGGAAGGTATATGAGCTTCATCCATGGGGATGGACTCTACGACGTCATAATCACAGGTCGGTATAAGTGATACATAATTATATATTACTTAAAAGCCTTAAAAAATCGCAAGAATTAACTTGTATTTGTTGTCTTATTTTTGTTCTGTTTATATATTTATCTGCTGTGTTTATAGGTGAAAATGGGACGATTGACGGGCAAGGTGATGTGTGGTGGAATATGTGGAGGCAAAGAACTCTCGAGTTTACTAGACCCAATATAGTCGAATTGATGAATTCGAAAAGTATAATCATTTCGAACGTAACTTTTAAGAACTCGCCTTTTTGGAACATACACCCCGTGTATTGCAGGTAATTCACTTATATTATCTGCTATTTACCTTAAAATCACCCTCTACGTATTTAGCAGCTGTTTATAATATGTGACTACTCGTTTTCTATTTTCAATTATAGCGCGTTTGATTTAATATCTATTTTTCTCGTGTCAGTGATGTTGTCGTTAATTATGTAACCATACTGGCTCCTGCTGACTCTCCCAACACCGATGGAATCGATCCAGGTATATTTATTACCTACAATTTCAACATTATTATGTCGCATGAAATATTTCGAACCAAACAGAGCCTTAGTATTTTGAGATAATATGTATAAAATCCCATGTAACAAGACAACTAGAATAACAAATTTCATGCCCTATTTCTTTTGCATCTTCATTATCTATATTTTTTTTTTTTGTTTTTTCGTACAGACTCGAGCTCCAACGTATGTATAGAGGACTCCTACATATCAACGGGAGACGACCTAGTAGCCGTCAAAAGCGGGTGGGACCAATACGGAATATCCTACAACCGCCCCAGCCAGGGCATAACCATCCGCCGCCTCACCGGATCATCTCCGTTCGCCGGAATCGCCGTCGGAAGCGAAACTTCCGGTGGGGTCGCTGACGTCATCGCCGAGCACATCAATCTCTCCAACATGGGAATCGGAATCCACCTAAAGACGAACATAGGCAGAGGCGGTGTGATAAGAAACATCTCGATCTCGAACGTGTACATGTACAAGGCGCGAAAGGGGATCAAGATATCGGGGGATGTGGGGGACCACCCGGACGAGAATTATGACCGAAATGCCCTTCCGGTTTTGAAGGATGTTGTGATTAAGGATGTTTCGGGGGATTTCGTGCAGCAGCCTGGTTTGATTCACGGTCTGAAAAAGGCGCCGTTTAGTGGGATTTGTCTGTCGAATGTGAGTCTTGGTGGGGTGGTTGGGGTGAGGGATTCGGGGTGGCAGTGCAGTGATGTCAGCGGTGGTGCGGTTAGGGTTAGCCCATTACCTTGTGCCGAACTTACGAGCAGTCAGCAGATTGGTTCGTGCTTTTCTACCTTGTGATGTTTTTGTGGGATTTTGTTATGTTTTAGATTTGTAGTGGTAATAGTTTTCCATGTAAGAAGGAAGATGTTTGCTTAGGAATATAAATATTTATGATTTGTTTTAAAAAAAAAAAAAAAAAAAATCAATGTATTTGAACTAATGCATCTATATGATCTATGAAGTAAAATTGTCTTAAAACTATTTATGCCCTCCTTATTTTTAACCAGATCCAATTTATAAAGACATGTTAAGCTATTTTACGAAATAAGCTGGAATTTAAAGTTTGTTTTATAAGAGCATCTCCAACCTTGTTCATTTTGGAGTGGTAAAAGCTAAATTTTACTAATTTAGCGTTTTCAATCAAAAAATCATGCTCCAAAGGAAGAGGTATAATTTACCTCATTAGGGCAACTCTAGCCGAAGACCCCAAATTAGAGACCCCAAACGTTCATTTAGGACTTGCTACAGTGTTTTGGGGTTCCTGAAAAAGTTTTTTACTCCAATGCAAACCATCAAATTGGGGCCTCTTTTTTAAAATCTATTTAAATTTATCTACTTGAATAAAATTTAAATAAAACTATATTATGTTATAAATAAAACAAATAAATTAATTAATTAATTAAATATAATTATGTATGTATTTATATATATATATAAAACGTTTATAATTAATTCATTAAATAATTAAATAAGAATTAAACAAATACTTTAATGGCTAATCCTAATTAAACCCTGATATTAATACTTAATCTCCCATCTACACACCTGCCACACACAAAACAACCCACCTCCCCATTTTTCTTCTTCTCTGCACTTTCCCACCCTCGCCCTCTGTTTCTTTTTTTTCCCTCCAAATTTTGATTCCCCATTATTTTGACCCCATATTTGGGGTCCAGCTGAAGGAGATCCCAAAATAGGGCATTGGTTGATGGCAGCGTTGGAATTCGATTTTGCTATGTTGAGCCATCAAATTTGCAGTTGGTCCATTTGGGGCCTCATTTAGCTAAAACCAAAATCCCAAATGCTATATATACCACTTACTATTCACAATAGCTATATAAAATTATATTAAAATAATATACTGAACCCCACACCCCATTTTCCAAAAGTGATAAAATTAAAATTGATTACCCACTAGGTCACTCTTCAAATAGCAAATATAATAAAATATTATGAAATGTTAAATTATAGATGGTATGGTTGGAGAATGCACAAAAAATTAACTTGTTAAAACACTATTCAAATGCTAAAATAAGTATAGCATGCCAATTTTTACCTACCATGATTGGAGATGCCTAAGGTGGTGTTTGCAAAAGCTTATTTAAAAGAAAAAGTTAGTCATTGTGAATTAAGTTGGGATTAAGTGTTTATTTCTATAAGTTGGGGGTATTTGTAAATTAGTTGGAAAATTATCTTAAATAGAAAAAGCAGGTACATGGATGTTTTTAAAATTATAGCGTAAAACAACTTATTTAAGAGAAGCAAAATTAAAAGCTTATTATACAAACACCTAAAAATAGATTATATGCATAAAAAAAACTCATAATGTATTTCTAAAACCTTTTGAAAAAACCCAAAGACATCAATTTGTAAGAATCCGTGTTTGGCTAAACTTATTTTAAACGCTAATAAACTCTAATGTGTGATAAGCTGTTACGTCTTCTTTTTAGAATTAATTTTAAAGTGTTTGAAATGAGCTTATAAGACATTTTACTCGTTATAAAATCTTAAATAAAAATAGGATATATGTATTTTCTTCTAAAAAGATCTTAAAAGCTCTCCCGTAACTTATGTTTTGAACTTTTAAGATTTTTTTTTAAATATCAAACACTTTGGAATAGCTTATAAGTTGTTAAACATCTTATAAACTCTTTTTAACATCTTATAAACTTAGCCAAATAATCTAAATTGTTTGCTTGAAGTGGGTCGTTTGTTTACTGAACTTCCAATAGGGTTCTAAAATATATATCGAACGATTTGGGAAAATTAAGGCTACGACAAACGAGGTCTTTAGTGAAAATTTGGCAATTAAGTTCGTCAACAAATATCCGAAATTTAACAACGAACTTCTGAAAATTAACAATGGACATTAAACATTCGAACTTAAAATAAAAATAGGCGTCGGCACTTTCACAAGGAACTTTTAGCTAATAAAAACGTGAAGGTATTTTTGTAAAGTAAACGAGCGATTAACTTTTACCAAAATAGAAAATAAATGTTTTTCTATTAATAAAATTACATATGGGGACTTTTTTACACAACAAATTCCCATTTTTGTATGATGTCAACTACTTATAATTAATAGGCATATACAAAAATTCCCAAAAAAATTGCTAACGTTTTCCAAAAGGCTTCTAGAAAAATTAGAGCATGGAGAGTTCGTTAAATTTATATTTTTGGTCCACTACTATTATTGTTAGCAAGTAGTCACACACACTGCCACAGTGTACAAGACTTAGTAGCCAGTCAAAAATGTTGAATTTTGCAATTTCTTTTCAAGGTTGAACTTTTTTCTACTTCTACCAGAATAATCCAACACTAGCACCTATTTAGAATTTTTCCATCTTTTTTTTTCCGGATAAATTACGGTCAAATTACGAAAATACCCTATTGTTTGAATAATTACAACCACCCATCAACTATGAATCTTCTTACATGTTCACCCTTATGGTGTCAAATTCAACATAATCTTCTAGATTCCGTGAAATGTTCTCTAATTTGTACTTGTTTTGTGCAAAAATACAGTTTATGATATTTACATGACAAGAGACACATCTTATGATCATCTTGTTTCAAAATGTGGAGCTCGAATGGTGTAAAACGGGTTTCAAACTGGATAATATTCCACATAATCTAGAAATTCCACTAAATTTGACACCGCAGGAGTGGACGTGTAAGAAGATTCATAGTTGAGATAGGTAGTTGTAATTATCCAAACATGAGAGATTTTTTCGTAATTTGACATTTCCTCAGGGGCGTTGCCGTGATTTACCCCTTTTCTTTTTTTGTCGGGTCAAGTTAAAATATCATGGGGTCGGGCCAATAATCGAATTAACATAACTAGTCGATAATCAGATTCATAATTATTCCGGCAAATTACGGCCACCTCCCTAAGTTATGGTCAAATTATGAAAACCCCATCCTGTTTGGGTAATTACAGCCGCTCCCCCTCAAATATGCATTATTTTACGAAAAGACCGCTCCAGAAGTAAATTTAAGGATGTTAATTCGGTAAAACAGAACCGAAATTTCGGTACGCCAACATTTCATACCATTTACCGAATTAAATGTACGATTCGATTCGTTAAATAACCGAATTACATCAATTTTATGTAAACACATTTAAAAGGAGGGGGTGATTGTAATTACCCAAACAAAAGATGTTTTTTCATAATTTGACCATACTTCAGGGGTGGCCGTAATTTGCCCTTATTATTCCTGATTAAATTAATTATCTTATTTAGCATTTATTAGTTATTAATAGTTCATAGCTGATATAATCTGGATTAAACCACGTCATCACATGAGAGAGAGAGAGAGAGAGAGAACTAGTTGTTGTACACGTCAGCGGTCCCATCTAAATTATTTATTCAAAAGAATCTAAAAAACACGGTATTTGAAAGATTCTTTAATTACTTGAAACATTTGACTTAAATCATTATTAATTCATTTGTGCACATGACTCATTTCCTCACTTTTGAATTGGTCAGCATTTGGACCTCCCCCCACACACACACTCTAGGTGTAAAAAATTATATATATTTGAACATTTATAAATTAATACACCCGAGACAAATAAAATTTTATTAACTTAACAATATATTAAATTATCGAATTATATATTTAATACGTTTTCATCGAGTAAAGTTTGGAAGAAATTATTATTTAAGTGAAGTTATTAACTGATCGAGATTCTATTGCGGATGAAATAGGATTCCAAGATATGTTTGCATGAGAGTAAATTGTACTAATTTGTTCAAATTATAGGTTGATTTAGAAAATTGTTTTGTTCTATATCTATATATGAGGTGTTAAGTAAAAATATAAGTCAGTGATTGCGAATGAAATAAAAAAGAATTGCTTTATTTGTAAAAGTTCGGACTGTTTGTAAAGGTTAATTGACATCATTTTTAAGCAGTTAATTTACAAGTTAGGAGTGTTTGCGGAATAAACTTTAAAGTACAATTTACTAACCTAGATTGTCTTAAATGTCCTTAAAAGTAGGCAATATGGACATATATATTCAATGGAACTTTAAGCCAAAAAAAAAAACAAGTACTACAAAAGCTTCTGAAAAACGATACCGAGATATTCTGAACTCATAATCACTTTTGAGTGTTTGCATGTAAGATTTTGCTTCTACTTCTCTCAATGTAAGTTGTTTTAACCTAAATTGTAACAACACATCTCGATCAACTTCTCTTAAAATAAGTTGTTGGACAACAAACATCCCCAAATTTTAGAGATAAACACTTATCATTAACATAATTCACAACAGCTTCTACTTTTTTAAAAATTCTCGCAAACACCACCTTAAAACAACTTATTTTAAGGGAATTAAGCAAAAATAACTTTTGCAACACACTTTAAAAGTGATTATAAGCTTCAAAAAAAAAAAAAAAAAAAAAAAAAAAAAAAAAAAAAGAAAACTCATTTTGCTTTGTCATGATTCACCAAGATTGTTGGCAAGACCATGTTCTATAATTCAAAAAAAAAATCTGGTTTTGCCGTTTCTATTACTCTTATATTAATACAACTAACTATACATATATTTATTTATTTGAAGTTTGACTTTTACAAAGTTTGAAATGGTCAGCACACTCTAAAACACACCAAAAAACACACACACAAAGTACACTTCCAACATTAGAAGAGCAGTGACTAGTCAGCAAGAAAAAAACTCGGTTTCTCCAGTCAAACTTCAACTCCACCACTCTCCTAATTACTCACTCCACATATATATATATATATATATATATATATATATATATATATATATATATATATATATATATATATATATATATAACACCTCAAAACAAACTTAGTATTCCACCTCAAACCAAAACTTCTTAACCAAAACACATACTTACATACTCTACTAATTCGTATTTTTTTTTTCTCGACCGGTCGAAAAAAAGGAGCGAAAAACGGGAAATGGAGAGCGGTAATTTTAGCTGGGAATACGAAACGCTGATTAACGAGTTGACTCAGGGTATGGAGAAAGCAAAGCTACTCCAATTCCATTTGTGCTCAACCACTTCTCCCTCCAGAACTCAGCACTTGCTTCTCCAGAGGATTTTATCTTCTTACGAAAAGTCTCTGTCCATTCTCAACTGGCGGGGAGGACAACTAGCGGCACCACCACCGCCTACTTCCGGCGGTGCGCCGGAGTCTTCGATATCGGTCGACGGAAGCCCCACGAGCGAGGATTTGAACAAGAATTTCGGCGATCGCAATAAAGACTATACTACATCGAAGAAGAGGTAAATTTTTTTTCGGATTTTGTATCCGTTAATAACAAATTCGTTGGAATTATTTGGATTCGTTTTTTTTTTTTTCTTTTTTTGGGGGTTCGAAGATTTTTGGCTAAATTCGGTTTTCTTGATTGATGATGTGTCACAGAAAGATTCAGCCAACATGGACAGAACAAGTGAGAGTTAACCCCGAAAACGGGCTCGAGGGGCCCACCGATGACGGTTACAGCTGGCGAAAGTACGGTCAAAAAGACATTTTGGGAGCTAAACATCCTAGGTAAAAAAAAATTAAATTAAATTTAAATAAAAAAAAAAAAAAAAACCGAAAATCTGATGCTTAGTGTTTCTATAAATGTTTAACAGGAGCTACTACAGATGCACTTACCGATTGGCTCAAAATTGTTTTGCAACGAAGCAAGTGCAGAGATCGGACGAGGACCCCACGATATTCGAGGTCACGTACAAAGGGGCCCACACGTGCAACCAGTCTTCTCCGGCGGCTAACCCCGCCGCTCCACCGCCGCCAGCATCGCCTGAAAATCAAGAATTGAACAAACACAACCCACATAATAATAATAATCAGACACTCATTAATTTGAAAGCAAACCTCAGAGTGACCACCGAAAACACGCCGCCCCAATTCTCTTTCCAGTCGGAAAATTACTACTTACCAATCTCCGGTTTCGCGGGCGAAAATCACTTGTGCCAATATTCGCCACAGTTTCTATCTCCATCCGCATCGGAGACGAACTACTTCTCCCCTGCAAATTACGGTTCGACAAATTTCGGAGGGAATGATATCGCTGACATCATCTCGGTTCATGCATCCACGACGAATTCTCCGATTGGAGGGATGGAATTCCCGTTTGATCCAGTGGATCTTGATCCGATTTTCCCGTTTAACAACGCCTCTGGTTTTTTCACGTAAATGGGTTTTTTCGAAAGTCGACAATAAGACGAATAGATTTCTCTAGCTGCTTTAGATATTAGGGAGATGTGTTTCGTTGCAAAATTTTCTTTTCACATATGTAAAATAGTGTGAAATATTTAAGGCAATAATTATTAACAAACCACGATCGATCACCATCTAACGTAACTAATTCGTAACTAATTCGAGTAAATGAGTTCACACACACACAGACAAAAACATACGTATAAATTTCAAGAATAGACGATGAAATGAATGAAGAGCGCTATATTACGAACAATATGATTAACCGTCGTTTTTCATTCATGAAGATCTTTACAAACAACATATGAGTATTTATCACCTATGATTTACGAGCGGTCTTCTTCCTCTGTGAATTCGGAAGTGACATTTAATTTATTTACGTCTTTGCCCTCGGCTTCTCGAATACCTTCTCTGAGTCCAACTACGATGAATAGGTTTGTAAGCATAAGGAGTGACTCAGCTCCACCGTGCAACCAGTCGACATTGGCCAACGATTTTAGGTAGTGCACTTTTGCTGCCCGAAAATATAGACGAAATTTAGAAACTTTTTAACGGTATAAAAATAAGCAACAAATTAAACATGTCTTGTGGGAGAAATTACTTACCATAGATTCCTGCTGGTACTGTGATGTAATGAAGACAAAAAAAAAAAAAAAAAAAAACAAGGAAAACAAGGAAAACAGTTAGTGCATATTTTAAACATTGTGTACATGGGTAAATTACGGTCACCCCTCTGAAGTAATGTTAAATTACAAAAAAACCCCTCATATTTGGATAATTACAACCACCTCCCTCAACTATGAATATTTTTACACGTTCACCCTTATGAAGTCAAATTCATCAGAATCTACTAGATTCCATAGAATGTTCTCCATTTTGTACTCGTTTTGTGCAAAAATGCAGTTTGGATTCTGATATTTACAAGCCAAGAAACACATCTTATGATCATTTTGTTTCAAAATATCGGGCTGGATTAGGGTAAGGGTAAAATAGGTACAAACTAGAGAACGTTTCACACAATCTAGAAATTTCTACTAAATTTAACGCCACAAGAATGAACGTGTAAGAAGATTCATAGTTGAGGCCTTTGGTTGTAACTACCCAAACACGAGGGGAGTTTCGTAATTTGACATTACCTAAGAGAATGGCCGTAAATTATCCTAATAAAACATATGAATAATATTGAATGACCATCTCAACCAAAAGCCTAAGCCGTATCATTTAATATTAATATCTCCAATAAATAAAACCAATAAATTAAGGCCAAATCCCACAAGAGCAAATTGTAAACCAGCAATAATAAATAAATAAATAAATAAATAAATAAATAAAATAAAAAAACAAGAAGAAGAGGATGAACTAACTTGCGCCACAGACGAAGGCAAGCAAGAAGTAGAAACCAAATAGAGTGAGTTTAGGGGCAGAATTGGATTTGGTGATGAAATACAAGAAACCCAGATAAGGTAAGAGAGAGAAAGCAGAGAGCTGTGTAGCTATGGCGGGAGAATCAAGATTCGGCTCCCACGTCAGCATAAACCCACCACGGCAAACAAAAATCCCTTCTTTGCCCTTATCTCTTCTGAATAATCTTCTTTTGCTTCTGATTTCAGTTTCGCCGACCAAGTAATTGAGGTTGCCGCCGCACTGATTCTTTGTCTGAAAGTTGTAATCTTTGTTCAAGAACGAAGAACAAACGAACGTGGGGTTCTTCCAACAGTAGAGAATTTGCACGTAGCTTCCCATTTTTTCTCGATTTAATTTAATGGGTGTAGATTTTTTTCACTTGTTCTACAGCAGCGGATAGTTTAAGCAGGTGTCGTTTTGTATTCGTTAACTTATTTGCAAAACGAACCTTTTATGTTTTATAAATTACATCTAGACCCTGAAGTTTGTAAATTTGTTACGTTTACCCCCTACTACATGGTGCTAATATGAGAAATCTTAAAATTGCAGGGGATGAATGTAATTATGGAAAAATGAGTTCTAGATTTGAAAATAAAAATAGGTGAAATTGCAAATAAAATCGTTTTGCTCAATTACAAACTGTAAATTGTAATAGTTTTATTTTTTAGTGAAATTATTAATAATATAAATATATATGTATATATTTAATGTTATAATAAGTAAACACACTTCGAAAAAACTAAATGCTAGTAGTGATTAGACTATGAAAAGTAGTTGTGAGTTGTGAGAGAAAATTTATGTTTAAGCTTGAGTTAAAAGTGTGACAGTACTTGTATATTAAGATGTTTAAGACTTTATAAGCACTTTAAAAAAAATTGTTACTTTTTTTAAATATATTTAAAATTCAAAAAAAAAAAAAAAAATTGTTAGAGAGTATATAAGATTTTTTTTTTTAAAAGTGTCTCTATCCCACTTTTTCTTAGATATCGTTAGGGGTAAAAACAATTTATAAACTCATTATTCAAAAACTTTAAAAATTATTTTTATAAAAGTTATAATGAGTAAAAACAGCTTATAAATTCTTTATCCCAATACTTTAAAAATTAATTCTAAATTAAGACGCAATTACTTATCGCAACTACTTATGAGCTCTTTAGTCATATATAAATCCTTATATTAATTTATTATATAGTTGGAGTATATTTAAATACTACAAAATAGGGTAATTGAGGGAAAATTACAGTTTATGTCCCTAAACTTTACCACTAAAACGATTTATGTCCTCAAATATTTCAATCCACGAAATATGTCTTCAAACTTGCCATTTTTTATCACTTTATGTTCTGCCGTTAACGTCGGCAGCTAACTTCGACGGAAATAGCACGCGTGGCTCACGTGACGTCTATGTGGCCGTTAAATGTGACGTGAAATAATATATTGAATATTAAATGTTGACGGACACAAGAATATACTAATTTCCTCTAACTCACTCTCCCAAATCCCAAATCACGTTTCCCAAATCCCAAATCCCAAATTCCCATTCCCAAAATTTCAATCCAATTTGCATTCTTGCTCGAACCCATACTAAAATCGAAGTCATAAACCCATAAAAAATCCAAACATTCTCACATTTGAAGAGTTTTTCCCTTCTCAAAGAACAACAGATTCACGTGCAAACACATGCCTGCAATCGAGAGGAAGAAGGTAAACGCGACTCCTCTTCTGGTTCTGAAAAAGAGGAAGCTTTAATTCTTCTCCCAACTCCGTCTCTAGAATGTTAGGGTCGTGTGATTCTTCGCCTGCTGATGCTTGTGCCCCTTGTGGTCTCGATGAAGCGAGCACAAATGGTGAAGATGGCACAAATTCTACCCAACTCAGCAGTTTCAAAACCTGCCCAGAAGGTGTTCGACAAAATGTCTGAACCAATTCCGGAAAAAATACATGCAGCACCTGTCAAAGCTGCATATAATTCTTTTTTCGCCAAGAATAGAGTGCCCAAGAACGGATTCCAGCTCCCCAACTTCCCCAACGAAGTTGAAGAAGACATGATATTTCAGCCCGAAGATGAAAGTGAAATCGAGGAAACATTCGGCATTTGTTTATTGGGCTATTTTGCTGGTAAAACACCACGAAAAATGGCAATGAATTCACAGACGATTCTGCTATTTTCGAATTTCACCTCAATTGAAGGATTCGAAATGGGGTTTTAGGGATTGGATTTACGGGTTTATTGGGGATATGGAGAATTAGGGATTTTAGAATAGAAATAGGGGAGGAGAATGACGTGTCGCTCCACATCACGTTTCGTCGACCAAGTAGGCACTGGGTGTAGTACAACTCGACATTTAACGGCCACATAGATGTCACATGAGCCACGCGTGCTATTTCCGTCGAAGTTAGCTGCCGACATTAACGGCAGAACATAAAGTGATCAAAAGTGGCAAGTTTCAGGACATATTTCGTGGATTGAAATATTTGAGGACATAAATCGTTTTAGTGGTAAAGTTTAGGAACATAAACTGTAATCTTCCCGGTAATTAATATGCACAAAAGATATATTTGTCGCCAAGTATTGTATTAAAGCATTATAGTTCGATTGAGAAGAATCTTATTTTATTTATTTTTTATAAATATTTGTTGAGCTTATCTCAAGTTAGATGCTAAAATTATTTTTAACATAAAAATAAAAGAAGGTTTTAATTAAAAAAAGTTGATTGGATCGTAAAAAATCGTATATAAATTTGTTCGATATAGTTATACTAAATTCGATTTTCCTTAAGATTGAAATAAAAAAATTGAAAACTCAAAACAAATCGCTAAATCCAATTATAAGTCAATAGTGTAAATCCCAAATTTACGAATTTGTGAACAATAGTATTAGACTCTAAAATCAAAGTTTACTAAAAAAAAAAAAAGACTCTAAAATCAAAGCTATTAAATCTTCCTAATCACCTAATTAATAAACCTAAAGAAAAGGCAATTAGTGAGAAATAATGAAATAATAAAAAAAAAAAAAAAAAAAAAAAAACAAAAACTAATATCAAGAAAAGAAGCCTTGCAGCGCACGGCTTCTCCATCAAACTCAGCGTTCTCGCCGGAAAAATCAACCATCCACCTTACTCTTCCCCTTAATCTCCTTCTTACGCGCCGCCACCATAAGTTTGATCTTCTCCACCTCCGCCGCCAGCTCACTAAGTTCCTCCGGAACCAAATCCCCCACCGCCGAATCCCACCTCTTCCTCTCAATCGCCTCAACTATCCTCCTCTCCGTCTCCGTCAGCGGCAGCGGCTCCGCCGGGCCGTCCTCAGCTCCGCCGCCGTCAAGCACACGTGGTCCTCCGGCTCCGGCAGCTTCCTTCCCGAAGACGGATTTAGGGTGAGAGATGTAGCGGTTGACCAACAGGTTGAGAGAAGGGTGGCCTAAGCCGAAGAAGTTTCCGGCGGCGGAGAAGACGATCACCGCCGCCTGGGAGTCGCTCAGGGTGCAGTAATCCTGGGTCTTCTTGAACAGGCCCTGCCGCCGCTTCGTGAAGGTGGTGTGCCGCTTCGCCTTCACCTCAATTGCCTTGATTTCCACGCGCCTCCGCACCATGATTTTTCTCTAGGGTTTCTGTTTTGCTCTGTGTTTGATGTTTGGGCAATTTGGGGGTGCTTTACTTCTAGCCTCTAGGAAAGGGGGCGGGTTTATATAGTGGGATATACTTCTTGTTTTTTCCATGTATTTATTAATTACTTTAATGGGCAAATTACAGGCCAACCCCTCACGTAAGGTATAATTACGAAAACCCCCCTCTTGTTCTTATAATTACAATCACCCCTCAACTATGTATTTATTTTATTTTATATATGTAAAATTAGTATTTAAACTAAAATTAAATTTAAAAAAAATAATCAAAACACTAATATTTTTAATAATTCTTTTGTAATTCGCTTATTTATCGAACCTAATGTTAAACGGTATGAAATTGTGGCGTACTGCAATTTCTGTACAATTTTTCCGAATGAACCCCTAAATTTATCAACTAAGGGATTCTTTTATAGATAATACATAGTTAAGGGGTGTTTGTAATTATACAAACATAATGAGTTTTTTCGTAATTTGACCTTACTTTACGTGTGTTTTGTAATTTGCCCTTACTTTAATTTAACAAGTAATTTAACTATGGACCTTGCTAAATGGCCAGAATCTGGCCAGCCAGAAT